CCCCCCCCCTTTCCCACACCCAGTCATAATCGTCGGCAGAACTCTCACCGCCACTTCCTCATCGAAGAACAGCACCGACTCCTTGAACTTTTCGATGGGCACCAGCATGTCCTGGATGATGTGGTTCCTCTCGTACAGCTTCTTGACGGCCTGCGTCTGGGTGAGCTTGAGCAGCGACACCTTCGGCGGAGTCATCCAGCCAAACAGGTACCGGAACACGGGGTTGTTGCCGAAGGGGATGATTTCCTGCGGGTCGGCGTGGCGGCGTTAGTCCGGCATAGCGTATGGCTATCGGCCCCCCACTCCCGTCGCCTCTGTCCGTCCGTACCTTAATCTCCCAGAAGAGGGAGCGCGAGTGCCGGTGCTGGTAGTCGCGCAGGGGGATGTACTCGACGCCGGGGCCCGACCGGAGGAACGTCCTGACGTGCTCGAAGAACCAGGGCTTGTGCCAGCGGCCGATCTCATTCAGCTTGCCCCAGTCCACGCAGGAGACCATTTGGCCCGTCATCACGACGCCCTCGTCCTTGGAGAACATGAGCGCCTCGACGAACTCATTTTCCTCAGGGAGGTCGAGCTGCCGGCGCAGGACGGTGTCGGCCTCCTCGAGGGAGCGCACGGGCTCGTACTGCATCTTGACGAACCTGGGGCCCATAGGGGTGGCTCATACAAGCGGTCTCGTCGAGTGAATGACAATGAGGGGGGACAGGGAATGTATGCTGACCTTAGCGCGGGGACGATCCTTATCTCGACCGCCGTCAGCAGCCCCAGGGTGCCGTAGGACCACGGCACCGAGTAGAACAGGTCGGGATCACTGTCCTGAGCCACAGAACAAGGCGATAGAAACACTCTAAGCTGAGTATGGTTTGAGTTTGAGCACTCTCTGATGATGGCTCCGCCCAGCCCTCCTCACCTTCGTGACTTGGACGACGCTGCCGTCGGCGAGGACCAGCTCGTACGCCACGCAGATGTGCTGGAACAGGCCGTGCTTGTGGGAGCTCGTCTCCACGCCCGTGCCCATCACCAGCCCGCCCACGGTCAGGTCGTCCAGCTCGGGCACGAAGGGCAGCGTCCAGCCCAGCGGGTCGAGCGTGGCCGTCAGCTGCCCCATGGTGACGAGCGGCTCGACGCGCACCGTCCTCCGCTCCGCGCTGAGGTCCAGGATGTCGACGAGGTTCACGTTGACGGTGAACATTGTCTTCTTGTACTTGGCATGTCGGAAAGACATGGTCTGCCACGAAGGGCGGGCAGTGCACATGGGTGTCCTCGCCCCCTCCGCGCTCCACTGCCTCACCTAAGCGACGAAAGAGGATCGATGTAGTGTTATATTCAGTGGAGAAAAGTCTACCCGGGGCGCAGACTGGGGTCCGACGGCATGGCGTAGCGTGGATTCGGGGCGGGAAACCCCAGCGATCCACGCTCCGCCACGCCGCCAGACCCCAGTCTGCGCCCCGGGTAGACTTTTCTTAACTGAAAATTATAACATAAGCAGAGGTCCCGCACCACTCAAGCGACAAAGCGTCGAAAAGGGGGGGGGGAGGGAGGCCTTGATTGAACTGACCTGCTTTGCGACGTTCTCGACCTTGCTTGCGTGCTTACTGGGCGCGGAGCTGAGCTGGAACACGACCCAGCTACGAACGTAAAGCAGTACGTCGTACAGGAGCGATAAAGGAAGCAGCACGATCACGAACACCCAGCGGTAGTGGATGAGGATGTGCTCTACCACGGCGTCGAAGCCACCTGAGCTTGCGGTCACGGCCTTTCGGTCTCCCATCTTAGCGAGGGTGTGTCTGCCGTGTCTGCTCTGGTTGGAGTCCACCCGGCGACTGCGACAGCGTAAGTGGACATGGACACAAACGGGACTGGGCCCGCCTAAAGGCGCGACGCGGTGAGAGGGGACCGGAGGGGACCGTAAGGCGTGAGGGGACCGACCGGGACGCGTGCGAGCCAGCCGGGCCTAGAGGCGGAGCCGGCTGCCGAACCTCTTCACATAATCTGCGACTGATAAACGTGCAGGACGCAGCCCAGACGCGTGGTATTTACCCGCAAGTACTCGTGCACCTAACGTGAACTTTGTGGACGCGATGCTTGAGACCCACCCATAGCGCCTGGTCTGAAATTCCATAGAGCAAACGCGTATATGGTAACTAATAGTGTTACATTACTGACTTAAATGAACGAACCCGCACGAAGACCTTCAGGTGCGCAGGTCGCAAAGAGTTACGCGCACGATGTCTTTTACTCATTATGTCTAAAAAGTTACTCGGACGACCTATGCAAGGAATGTGTCTTAAGAACACGACCTACAAGCCGTGATGAGCGTGCCACTCGTGCGCGCACCACTGGGAAAGTTATGCGCTCGCAGTTAAAGCTGTTTTATACAGCGAAAGAAATGTCCCCGCACAGTTTTGTGAAGTAAAAAGATTCGAAATTATTGCTCTCCCTCTCTCTCCCCCTCTCATAGCAGCGCATCTCGCTTATCTAGGGGGCAGGGCAAGGTTCGGGACAAGGGAAAAGGAGAAAATACTCATCCTCAAGTTCATGGGTGCCTATGAATGATAGGCACTTCAAATTGGCTGAGTTCAAACTATACCAAAAAGTACTGTACTGTACCGTGTACGTGTCAGGGCCACGACAGAACCGTATGCTGGGTTGCCTACTCGCTATACCCTAAGGCGCCGTGGCGCGGCGTTAAGAGCGGCGGGGAGTGTGGCGCGGCGCGGCGTCCTTCGGCTCCTGCACTACTCGGACCTCGACTCGGACGCTTAGGGCTGGCCGCTGTCTCCACAGAGCTGCTTTGCGGGTTAGCCTACCCTGCGCGTCACAGGCGTTGGGTCTCTCAACCAGCACGATCAAAACGAGGGTAGGCGCAGCAGATTCCAACAGCTACCAGGTGCGGCTGTATGGGGGGGCGATCCCCCCTCCCCCTCCCCC